ATCAACATAGATTTAGTGTGATATTATCTAATAGGCTTGTGTCGATTGTTACGAAGTAATAACTAAGCCAAACATCGATTATGATGCCTAATATGAGGTAAATGTAAAAGGTAAATTTACTTAGAAATATATATGCAATAGTACATAGGTACTAACCTTAAGTAACTCACTATAATAACTGAACTTTGCTATCAATAAACTTGCAGATACAATTTCTTCCCATAAACACCTTCTACACCATCTACAAATCTGAAATTACAAAACAATTCAACAAATTAGTATAAAAATTTTACACCAAAATAAATATTTTTATTTACAATATATAGATTGGTGAGAAAGAAACGGATATATACGAAAATTGAATATCTTACTTACATATTGATTTATTAAAGATATATCTTCCCAAATTAAAATATTTAAATAATCATTTACCTTTTTATGCAACATACTCAAATTTATCATCATCAACTCTCACTTTAATGCTCAAACATACAAAGATGAGAAAAGTACAAATATCACCTGACATTGCAAAGAAAATTTAAAAATTATATAATAAAAGAAGAGAACAATCACCAATATAAATAACAAAATCTGCTTCAACATAAGCTTATTAACACTATTTTATAGTATGCATGTAGTAATTTATTACATATTTTTATTTTAAAATATTATACAGCACCTTAGCATATTCCCAAATAATTTAAGATCTACAAAAAATATATCTACAGGAGATGGCATAAGAAAAATCTCACCAAAATTACTCCACAACAATAATTAGCTGCAATCAAATAAAATTCACTCAGATTTATCATTTTTCATGGTGAATTTAATAATATATATATATATTATTACCATTGCAAAAACTATTCAATGGTTGACTAAACGAGCCTAGATCTGAATACCGAAACGAAGCTAGATCTGACTACAACTATGCTGAAAATCATATATTCCATATCCATTAACCATAGGCTAGCTACTTTAAAAATTCTCTCTTAAGTACTTTCTAAATTTGTTGTTCACACGATGAGTTGGGAAAAATTTATACCAAATTTATTATGATGTATTCATATTAAAGAGAATTCCTAATCCATTAAACTTCAAATCAGCATGCAACCTTTTGCAACATCAAAATATTGCATAGAACCCAACTGATAATTCCAATCGAAAAATTATTAAAAACAGAACAAAAATTAAAAATACTTACACATATTAAAATCCACATAGAAGCTTATAGAAGCCCTATATTAACTTTGTCCATCCACACTCGAAATATGGAACTCACTTTCCAAATCTGGAAAATTATCTTCTATCAGTTCATGTTTTGGTCTCCTTCCAGAGAGATCCATTTTGTTTTTTCGTTTTTTATTTTGTTCTTTTTACTTTTCAACTAGACCAATATATTCCTTTTTGTCCATACATTTTTGTACTTTGGTGGGTTGTCCAAAAGTATATTATATTTTATTTTTTCCAAATGCACTGATATTGCCAGATTTTAATAAAACAAATAAATACATATAGAGATGCGTACAAACATAAATGACTTGCAATAAATGAATTCTGAAGGCACGTGCATCAATATTCCTAAGAAGTCGTTTCTTTGTCACATATTACTTTATTTCATTATTAAATTAATAAATTATTTATTAATTATTTTTAAAATTACACTTGCTATTAATTTTTTTTATATTTTTTCACATTTGTTTTTCTACCAAGTATTATAATATTTAAGTTGTGCATTATTTTAATTTATAAAAATTTTAACGTACTTTTAATTTATAAAACTTTTAACGTACTTTTAATATAGCATGGATTGCTTTCTTTCAAACGTCCTAAATAACGTGACGCAAAGAAAATTTTAAATATTCAATCAAAGTTTTATCCATTTTTCATATATTTTTAAAAAAATTATAGTACTTTATCCTTATTATTTTTGTAATATATGTTCCTTATCTTAAATATTTAATTAATCTTTTTATAATAATTAAAAAATTACATTTAAATTTTACCTTTTTAACATTTTATAATATCCATGCAACGCGTGGGTACGTATACTAGTTTATAATATTAAGACAGAGGCATTTTCTCCTCTTCTCTCCAATTTTCCTAATTAACATTTTAGGGTTCCTGGATTGCGATTGTTGGAGAAGAAACAATGGCGTCGGTGTCAATTGAAATCACCAACCTAGAAGTCCGAGACATCGTCAACTACATCGGCAACTCCATCGGCGATGGCATCAATATTTATTGAGCGTGCTGGACCAATAATTTTGTTACCGAAGAAAGTAAATATACCTTTCTCAAGGTCACTTAGAACACCTCTCTAATTACCCGTCCATAGTTATCCTCTTCTTAGTTTCAATTTTGTTAAAAATTTGGTACATATTGATTAAATTATTTGCTTGTGTAAGGTTTGTCGGTAGCAATTTTTGATCCTGTAAATTGCAACTGTAGCAGCGAATCATAAAAAAATATTATTTGGTGCAAATTGCAAATCAATGAGTCGAAGTTTCTATTATCATTTCTAGACTGAATTTTCCAATCCTAGTATCCAATAAAGTTCCGAATGTTGACTGAATTTGAAGGATCTGGATACTATTATGTGCAATTGTAGTACCATCGTGTTATATATCTATTCTAGATTATATAAATATAAATTTTCCGCTAGTCTCTCTTTATCTCTAGAAACCTCCACGCCTACTTGGCTGCAAAATTTGTCTCGGACAGTGGCGGGACATGACACTCGGCTCTAATGTTAAAGACTCTCGGCACTAGGTGGAATAGGGGGAGGGGGACGTCCAAGTAATGAAGAAACAATTGTATGGTTTGGGTTTGCGTACTCTCTACCCTTCCTAGATCTCACTCGTGGGATTACACCGAGTATATTGTTGTAGTTGGCTAATTGCAATAACGTATGGAACAAATATTGTTGCAATGTTGCTTTCAATTATGGCACTGATGTTGTAGTCTGCTTATGCATTTTTGGTCCAAGAAATGAAAGTTGTATTATTTTGAGTCTATTCTTGTTATGGAAAGACCTTAATGTTTTGGTCTTTTCTTCTTCTTGCAGGCAGAAACACTACTAGGATACTAGGACTAACTCCACTCTTTTTCTTCACGTTATTGGAGGGGCTGGCGAATTTTTTTTTCCCAAAACACTGTCCATTTGTCAATGGGCCATTTAGCATTTTTCAGCTGCATACTATCAGTTAATTTCGTCTTTTATAGTTTGGTATCTTAGATTAGTCCTTGTTATGTTAACTTAATTTTTTTTCTGAAAATTAAAAATGCCGTCTACAATAGTCGAAAGATCACCTAATAGTTAATTAATTAACTATTACGACAACCGTAGTCGGCGTTATTAAATTAATAAATTATTATTTAATAAGTATTCCGACTACAGTAGTCAGTAGTACTTAAATTAATAAAATATTATTTTACTACCATTCCGACTACAATATATAGTCAGCAGTTCAGGTACTTTAATGGTCGGGTTTTAATTTATATGTAGTGACTATGGTAGTCAGCAAGTATTTTCCGACGCTCAGTCTGCCGCCTCCTCAAAAGTAGTCGGAAAGTCATCGGAAAACTCCATTTTCGGACTACATTCCGACCATTTTTGAAATCGGCAAACAACGAAATTCTAGTAGTGTAATATATTCGACATTTGTATTAAATGTCACTATTTTAGCAACACTTTAGTTAAAAGTCGCTAAAATCAATGACATTTTACAACAAATGTCACTATTTTAGTGACATTTTTTCTAAATGTCACTAAAATAGTGACATTTGTTGTAAAATGTCATTGATTTTAGTGACATTTTTTCTAAATGTCACTAAAAATCAATGACATTTTACAACAAATGTCACTATTTTAGCAACACTTTAGTTAAAAGTTGCTAAAATCAATGACATTTTGCAGTAAATGTTATAATATATTCGACATTTGTATTAAATGTCACTATTTTAGCAACACTTTTAGTTAAAAAGTTGCTAAAATCAATGACATTTTACAACAAATGTCACTATTTTAGTGACATTTAGAAAAAATGTCACTAAAATAGTGACATTTGTTGTAAATGTCATTGATTTTTAGTGACATTTAGAAAAAATGTCACTAAAATCAATGACATTTTGCAGTAAATGTTATAATATATTCGACATTTATATTAAATGTCACTATGTAAGCGATATTTTTTCTAAATGTCACTAAAACCAATGACATTTTATATAAATGTCATATTATATTCGACATTTGTAGCAAAATGTCATCATTTTAATGACATTTTTGCTAAATGTCGCTACAAACAACGACATTTTGCAATAAATGTCATTATCATAGTGACATTTTGGACCAAATGTCATTATATTTACGACATTTGACATCAAAATGTCATTGTTTTATGACATTTTGTTCTTAAATGTCGTGAAATTCTTTATTTTCCGACATTTGTTTCAAATGTCACCAAATTAATGTCGTCGTACGTACATTTTCTTGTAGTGACTATTGTCCTCGAAGAATGAGGACTCACCATTGATGTTGCTAAACTGGAGATCGAGAACCGATCTAAGTGTGATTTGGATGCTGAGAACCTGAACCTACATCACAAAAGTATGTAGTGCAGAGTATGCGTTAGTACTTGAAAGGTACAGAGCATGCAGGATAGAGTAAAACTGAAATAACATATAACTGAACAAGGAATAAAGCAAGAGTATAATCTGAACATGATATATATACTGAATACTTGGCTAACTAAATGCAATGACCAAATTTATAACATGCTGAGACTGAATACGGACTGTACTGAAATGTGGTTAATGCAATGGAATCTGACTGAACTGTGGGAGTTACTAATAACTGATAATAAAACCACATGAGCTAAATATAGAGTCCGATGTATACGCCCCATCGGGAGGACCCAATATACCCTGCCAGAGGTATAGAGGCATGCTGGCGTTATGACTAAAATGATGCTCACATAAGGGACTTACAACCTACGTGGCTCATAGTTCCGGGACTATATGGGTGACTAACTCTAGTCCAACTCAGTAGTATACTACTCCCAATAGATTAAGTTGATTAACACCTTATGACTGAGTTTCTATAATGTACAGGATAGCTCGAACTAACATGCAAACTAAGAATGCACACTATATATTGATCATGACGCATCCAAAACTAAGACATGTATATCTAAAATAACTGAAATATCTAGCCTAGCATGTGTAATTCAAGAACTAAAGAAATACATAGCTAGGGCTCTAAAATTCATGCAAGAAATGACGTAATAACAATATAATCTGATTTGGAACATTAAATTAACTAATTCATGATGATCTGCTGGAGTTCTAAAAACCCTACGTCTAATCATGATAAGGGAATCAAGAATCTGACTAAAAACTAGGGACCTAATGGGTGAAAGGAACCCACTAGTGAAATCCCAAATACCTGGTGACGAATTCCATCGAGAAATCTTTCAATTTCGGGGCTGGAACTAATGGAATCTTGTTGTGTTCTTGAACTAGGGTTACTCGACCTTTTCTCCTTTTTACGCCCTAATTTTCTAAGGTCTTAATTAAAAATCTTACGTAGTTAAGTTCTAGTTATGTTTCTAGGCTAAAACTAATAAAAATCATGTAGTTTAGGGTTAAAATGACGTAGTTTAGGGGTCCAACAAAATAGGAAAAGACCAAAAGACCCCTGACTTAAATTGTAAATGGGCGGACCACGGTCACTTCCACGGACCGTGAAAGGGACCACAGACCGTGAAAGGGACTACAGACCGTGAAAATGGTCGTTGTCTGGGGTCCATGAGCTGGGGGTTCTAGGCTCTGATCCACGAGCCCCTACCAAGGGTCGTGTGGAGTACCATGGACCGTGAAGGTCCCCGTGGTCCTCACTGGGGCTGAGGTTTGGAGGCTCAGGTCTGGGGGCCTACTGGATAGGCTTCACGGACCAATCTACGACCCATGTGAGGGACCTCGGAGCGTGAAGGCCCTCATGGTCTAAGGGGCTGGCTAGGGGGGCTACTGCCTCGACTACACAGACTCCACCACGGTCCGTCATCAAGACCACGGCCCGTGAAGGGTCCCGTGGTCTGATGTCTAGCTTGGAGGGATCCAAGTCATGTCCACGGGAGGTCAACGGACCTTGGACCCTTTCATGGTCCGTCAACCCTGTCCTGGTTCACTGCTTCAGGTAAGTTTCTACAAAAAAAATTCTAGGTCATGTTTTCGAGGTGTGACAAGTGTGGCCAAAATCTGGTCCTTGTCAGTCTCCTTGTTGGTCTTGGCCATATGATTAAGGAGTTGGGCTGCTATTGCATAGCATAGTCGTGTGAGACCACCTGGAGAAATTTGGTTAGCCACTCCTCTGTTCTCCAGACCAAGACCTCTATAGAAACAGTCTAGAAGCATTTAATCTGAGATTCCATGAACTGGACATTGCAGCAATAGTGACT